GTTCCAATAAAGTTTTATTTACAACATCACGCAGATAGTCTGTAGTTTGTTGACTACCACAAGCTGTCACTGAGCTAATTAAAGCAGACAAAAATATACACCAGTATTTCTATTTCATTATCCGACTGCGAAAGACTAGAGACAGAAGTGCATATGTTGGTATTTGACATGTTTTTGGTCTGCTCATATTTGAGATGTATTTGATCACTGTGCTTGTGTAATGCAACAGAGAACTTATATTATGCATGCCTGGCTTCTCTTAAGCCTTGCTGCAAGGAAATCAGACCTCACACACAGAACAGGCTTCTCAGAGTATCTTCTACCCTCAAATAGAAAATCTATTATTCCTCATTTTATAGAAATAGATGACAGAATTGCCTCAGCAAATGATGATTCCATATGGTAGCAGAATCCTGTACAGAAGGCATCAGGGCAGGACTCCAAGAGAATTATCTATTTCAAACCCTACAATAAAGTTGTTTAGCAATACAGTTCTTTTGCAAATCTGAGGTTCCTATAAACATGAGGTGTTATTCATAATTTATGATAAAAACAATCTTGATTAGAGATTTGGAAACAATTAGACCCACACCATGTTTTAAGAAATAATCTCTGCAAGGCACCTGGGTGGCTCAGTTGTCAAGCATCCAATGGCTCAGGTCACGATCTCACAGTTCATAGGTTCGAGCCTCAAATCTGAGCTGTCATCTCAGAGCCTGGAGCCTGCTTCAGATTCTGTCTCCCAGTTTCTCTCTGCCCCTGCCCCGCTTGAGTGCTTGCGTGCTCTCTCTCATTTAAAAAAAAAAAAAAAAATCTCTGAAATAGGCAAGAATCTGATTTAAAAAAAAAGTAGAACATAAAAAGTAGTTAATTTAAAGTCAGGGAATCAAAAGCCACATGATGTAGCTTCTTCCTAAGAAGAGTAGACCAGTACATAGTCTCCCCATGTTTGCAACAGAAAGAACACACAAAAAAAATAAAGATGTAAACTCTCTCTCTCTCTCAAAAAAAAAAAAAAAAGTATGTTACTGTTAGGAAAAGCGAAGTGTATTATGGTCAGGAAAGATCCATCAGTTTTTTAAAAGTCAAGGCCAAGGTCTTTCTTATCAAGTATTTCTACTTCTTCCTATTCGCTCTCCTTCAAAAGGTTTTGCAAGGATCAGATATGGTACACATTAAAGTGCTAGGTAAACTATTAGACCCTATAACCAATGTAAGTGGCATTATGTATTTTTTATCATTATTTGTTACTACATTGATCAACTGAACTACTGCCATGCTGACAATTTTTGGCGATCAATCTTTCTAATAAGATCCTAAGCTCCTGGAAGGGAGATGCCCAATTAGCTTAACAGGGAACACTGTTGTTAGGAATACTAACAACACTCAGTGGTCACCCAAACATCCTTTGGACAGAATTGAAATTGACAGCAGAAAATAGAAAATGTTCAATAATAAGATTTTAAATAAACAAATAAATAAGTAGAAGTTACCCAATGCACATTTGCTCTGATTTTCAGTTGTCTTTTATTTTTTCTCTTCTAGTTTAGTAGTTTAGTAGGTTAGTACTCCATTAATGTTCCTTTCTTCCCTCTGTTCTAGCTCCTCACAGAATCAGATGCTGGAAGAAAACACAACCCTTTATGTTACTGTCAATTATAGGCATAAACTGTCACTGAAAAAATGCTCAACACAGAGACAGCACAATGCCTCTGCGTGTGTGCACGTGTGTATAATGGGGATGTGGCAGTAGAAAAAGACTAGTAAAGACAGAAGAGACGACAGAGACAACAGACAAGGTAGGGGTGGGATAAAGACAGAAAGACTCCAAAGACCTTCTGGGAATCTGGAAGAAATTTCCCCTGCAGTTAAGGGCAGTCGGTAAAGTGCTAGCCTTAATTTTACAACATGTGAACTCTGATAATATATTCAGCCATACAAAGTTTGAAAAACCAACTGACGAAACAGAAACAACTCAGAAAAGTTTTAATTCATAGAAACACACCTAAAACCAATCAGATTCCTGCAATAGCTGGTAAGCAGTCTTCTGAGGATCCGAGCAGGAGAGTATACGCTGTCTTGGCCTTAAAGTGGTCACCTTGCTACTTCTTGTTGGTAAACTTAACGCTTTCTTGACTAATGCAGTCTTTTCTTTAAAACAACAACAACAACAACAACAACAACAACAACAACAACAACAACACCCCATATTCCTTAATAAGGAATCATTTTTAAAACCTGGGATCTAGATTGCTCCATTAAGGAAATAAAACTAGATCTATACCAATGATGGTATTGCCACTGATCATTAGTCTAAATCGGGTACTGGAACTTCAGACAGGTAGGCTTATTTTAAGAACTAAATGTAAAATCACTACAAGAGCACAAGTTAAGCCCTTTCAGTATCTATGGGGACTGAACTGTAATTCTGGAGTATTTTCACTGGACCTTTGACAGACAAAGATGTAAGTTTTATTTCTAATAATCTCCTCCACTTCCCCCTTCATAAAAAATGAAAAATACATAAGATCATAGATCTTAAATGCAAGATCATAAATGCAAAGTTTTCTAAATGCATGCAACTTGAAATTCTCATAATCTGACATTTACACGTAGGCAGTGGCTTTATGTTGGTCCCCAAATCACATTTACAAATCTTATCGTGATACCCTTAAAGATGCATTCGTTCAACAAGACAAAAATGATGAAGGATCCATCTTGTGTATCCTGCACGGCTTTGTGACACAAACATGGGATTTGTTTCCTATGTGTTCTTCAACAAGCCCTCCAGCATAGTAGTTCTTTAACCATTACTCTTTCAAAAATCCCTCTCATGAATGTGGTACTACTGTTCTAAAGGACAAACTGTCATTCTACCTTGTTCATTCTTCTGCTTGAAATTACCAAGATAATATCCCTCACTTCTGATCATAAGTGAGTTTTTAAAAACCTTTCCATGGATCTTATTTTTCCTTTTAAGTAAAAAAACCATTAGCCTCAGCTACCAAAAGAGCAGATTCTGCTCTTCACATTAAAAAAGCTGCTCACCAAAGAGGCTTGTGTCAGAAAATTTAGAAGTCTCACTAAAAAGCTGGGGGGTGGGGAGTAAGCTGCTGGGAATCTTCACAGATACCTGATTTAACAAGGTTTTGTGAAAAGAGCTTGCCTTTAGATTAGCATTACTCAGTGTTTATGAGGGTTGTTTGTCAAGCCAAAAATAAGGCGCCTCCTCCCCACAAATTAAAAGAGTCAAGTTTCGATCCATTATTTCATTTCTGATTGTTTTTCTTTGCAGTAAGTGGGAAAGTGGATACTGGATAAAAGTCTCCTCCGAGCTAAAAGACTCCACATTAAAGGCTTCATTTAGCTATAAATCAGTTGTCTTTCCTACTGGGGGAGAACAAGAGAAAAAGGGAGCGGGGGTAGCTGGAGAAAAAAGAACTGGAAGAGCTTCCAAATTAAATTCCGAAATACCTACTGCATACCTAAAACTCCTTTCCGGGGCTGTGAGGAAAATCCCAATGAAAATCTAAGACTAAAATCGAACCTTCCAAAGTATGAGAGTAGGATCCCGTCTCACAGGGAGATCCTGAATCTGAAGATCTTTAAAGAGGGGCTGGAGAGGTTAGCGACCCTCATAAAACAAAGCGTTTATGCTGTGTATTTCCCTGCTCGTTCCCAAACCCAGAGATGTGCCACGCACTGGCACTATTGTTATGCAAACAATGCCTAAATGGCTGTAACCACTAACGACCTCCCATTAAAATGGCTTTCAAAAATTTGTCACACCATCTAAAAAAGCTAACAGGTACATCAAATCCATCATGAATCGGGCACTTAGAACACGAATCACCTTGATTTGCATCCTAAAACTCAATGCAAGTAAAATTTCAAAATTCGGATATTTAAAAAATTTCTCTTTCAACCATTAAGCCAGAACTAAACAATACACTTCTCAACAAATTTAGTTTATCCTGTAGTAAGAATGATGGAAAACAACTTTAGCCGTATTGTGTGTCTGGGAAAAGCGCTTTGGTTTATCGGGAACAATTTGGGGTAGAAATCAATTGAAAGTAATAGAAAAACAAGAGAACTGTAAAATGAGCTCCAAGGAACATGACATTAAATCCCATCTTTCTCCCCCCACCATGTTATAACTTTATAATCACCCCGTGTATCTAATCAATATATTTTTTTCCACGTGGAATTCGTAGAAAGTGAATTCAATTCCCATTAATGAAGGTAGCGCATGCGTATCCTTTTTTATATGGCCCAGCAACAAAACCTGCTTGGCAAACCCAAAATGTCAGGGTTCGTTACAAAAAGTGATTTCTTTTCAGTCCGAGAGCGAGCCCGTTAATGCACACCAATTTCGAGAGTTTCTGCGTTGTCCAGCAGAACTGCCACTGCCTACAAATGCCGAACGAAATGCCCAAGCCGGAGGCGCCGGGAGGCAGCGTCCAGGTTTCGGCGCGATGCGTTAAAGGCGGCCCGAGCTTCGCGCGCCCAGTCGGCCCCTCCCGAAAAGCCGCTCCGCACCGCGGGCTTCCGAGGACCGAGCGGGGACTAGCAGCCCAGCGGCCCCTGAAGGCGCAGGGCCGCTGGAAAAAGCGGCCGGGTTGCGTGGCCCACCTGGCGGGAACCCTTCTAACCCCCATGAGTCGAAGCGGTGCCGACGCCTCCCCCGCGACAGTCCGGACCCCGATAATCGGATCAGGAGGCAGCGGCAGACGCGGCGTGGGTGAAGAGCCGTTGACCGCGACCCCCAGCGCCGCGTTCAGGTTGGGGCGAGTCCCCGAGGCTTTCCGAGCCCCCGACAGGCCTTCGGAAGCCCTAATCCCGAGGACGGGGCGTCCCTCTGCTGCGCAGGGATGAGAGGCTGGCCCCGGACGCCCCGGCCCCTGACCCCGTCACGCCGCCCTACTCCCCTAACAGATCAGGGACAGGAAGGAAGGTTCTAGAAAGCCTCGGTGGACGGCAGGTCCTCGCCGGGCGCTTACCTTGGTGTACTTGATTTCGAGGTTGGGCGTGGGCGACGGCAAGAGGTGCAGGGACGCCATGAGGGCGGCGGGGTCGGCCTTCACCTCGCCGGGCATCTCGATCTTACTGGAAGTCATGGTGGCGGGCCGAGGTCTCGCTCGCCCGCGGCGTGGGCTGTGCGGGCTGTGCGCGCGGTCGGCGGGCCGGGGGCGCGCTCGCCTGTATATAGGCAGGTGTCAAGCTGGGGCTCTTCTTATTGGACGTGAGGGCCGAGGCGCGGGGGGCTGGTCCATCCTACCTAGGACGCCCGGGCGCAGCCCCGATTTACATAAAGCCCGCCGCCCGCGTTGCGCGATCCGTTCGCTCCGCGCCCACGGTCAAGTGCGCCTGGCGACTACCTCGGCCGCGGGGACAGGCCCAAGCCGCCACCACCGCCGGCCTCGACGGCCAGAGCCCGAACCGCGCTGCGGCCGCTCGGGGCTCCGAGAGCGGGACGGGCCTCGCTCCCGTCCGGGTGGCGGCGGTGGGAGGCGCACCTTAGCGGATGTCGGGCGTGGGTCGTAACCCCAGAAGCCGCACCGGCGGGGGCTGACGCGGTGCGTTGGAGTTAGCTCTCGGAGCTCAAAGGGCGGCTCTTAGGGCTCCAAGCGGGCTCGGCAGAGGAGGGGGTGCGTCAGGGGGCCCTCCCTCTCGCGTCCCGGGGCCCTTCTCTCCCGGAGACCCTGGGGGCGCCCTCCGCTCTCTTTCTTCGGTCAGGCGGCCTAGCACACACCCACTCCCCTCAACGGAGCCGGAGGTGCACCGCGGCCGCAGGGTCCTGGTCAGGCAGTGATGAGTGCGAGTTCCTCGCCCCACACTTAAAATTAAGTATCCCCGCCAGGCAGTCGACTCCGCGCGGCCCTCGCCCAGCTTTTTCCGCCCAGCTGCTGCCCTCTGCCGGCCGGGACGGCCCCGGGCGGTCCGCGCTGCGCCCCAGGATGAGGGCGTCGGTCCTCTGAGGGAGTTGGTGTGTTTCCTTGGCCCCCTCTTTCTTTTCGGATGCCCCCTTCTAGCCCTCGTTCTCCTCGCCCCCAAATAACTCAAGAATATACTTGTTTTGTTTTTCTGTTGTTTTTCTTGCCAACAGGTGAATGTCCCTCCGGACATTGGGTTCCTCGCTTTACTGCCCCTTTGGGTTTGAGCTTCTGTATTTATACCCCTTTAATGTAGATGTTTACCTAACTCCAACAGGCCTTCTTTTAGTTTGTGGGATCCTAGAGGTCAGCATATAGGTGTACGTCAAGAATCCAGAGATTCGATCCCAGAATGGGCTTTGGGCTACGTGGGCCAAATCTGGGCTTCAGATAAAAAGACCTTTACAGGTCATGTCTGCTCCTCGCTCCCAGTGCAAGCTTGACAGGGGCCTACTGATTCTTATCTTAAATGCCATTTTCAAAGCCCCTAGAACCTCATTTCTTTGGCTGTTAAGGGTCAGCCTGAAGAAATTTCCCCTTGGATACTTTTCCTAATTAAAAGTGCCTAACACTCAGTGCCTGAATGCTAACCAACAGTAGAAAATAGACAAAAATATTTCACGTTAGTATTAGGCCTATAGAAATAAATTCCAGCCTCTCAGAACCCAAAGTATCTACCCAAGTTTACGTGAGTGAATTACCTCAGCCTAAGCAATAGGTAGATCTCAATTCACAGAGGATCGCTATGGCCAAAAATTGTATTTTAGTTGACAGTGTATCTTCATGAGCTATAGTTTTTTTTTTTTTTTTTTTTTTTAAGGCTTGGAGAGTTGGAGATACAATTGAGGAAATAAATAAATAAATACATACATACATAAATAAACGAAGTCCAGGAGTTAGTTGGGGAGAGGGGGAGAATCAAGGGGGAGAATCAAGGGGGAGAATCAAGGGGAATCAATGGTGCTTGTGGAACAATTCTGCAAACATGTTTTGCAAGGTGCCTTACTAGAGTTTGGGTTACAAACAAAATGGATAGCCTTTGCCATCAGTGGGCAGGAACCCTTCCCCACAGGGAGGTAGATCACTATGAGGGACTGTGGGAAAAAGTTACAACCGTATGATCTGGGACTCTACTAAGGAAGAGGTCAGCTCTCTGGGAATGCTGACCTTGGAGCTGGGCCTTAAAGGAAGAGGTGGAGAGCGCCTGGCTGGCTCAGTCAGTTGAGCATCCCACTCTTGATTTCGGTTCAGGTCATGATGTCACTGTTTGAAAGTTCAAGGCCCACTTTGGGCTCTGTGCTGACAGCACGGAGCCTGCTTGGGATTCTCTCTCTCCTTCTCTGTCTGTCCCTCCCCTACTCATGCTCTCTCTCTCTCTCTCTCATAAATAAATAAATAAATAAATAAATAAATAAATAAATAAATGAGGTGGAGCTTCCTTCCACAGGGGAGGAGAGTACAGAATAGGTAGGAGGGTCCACAAGAGCAAAGGCATAAAAATTGGAGAATGCTTTGGTGGGAGGTGGAGAGAGAGGCATCAATGTGGCTGGAGCAGCAGCAGATGAGGCTGGCAAGGCAGTTGACTCAAGGTTGTAAGGACCTTAATTCTTGAGATGCTAAGAAACCATCAAAAGAGGGGCACGTGGGTGGCTCAGTTAAGTGTCCGTCTTTGGCTCAGGTCATGATCTTGAGGTTCGTGGGTTCGAGCCCTGCATCAGGCTCTGTGCTGACAGCTCAGAGCCTGGAGCCTACTTTGGATACTGTGTCTCCCTCGCTCTGCCTCTCACCTGCTCGAGTGCTCTCTCTCTCTCTCTCTCTCCCTCTCTCTCTCTCTCTCTCTCTCTCAAAAACAAATACACATTTAAAAAAACCTCAAAAGATGTTGAGCATGAGAAAAGGGGAATCTATAATTTAAACAGATAAATGAATACTGTCAGGAAAGACTCACAAAGTAGAAATAGTTGAGGTATATTCTTCTCAAAGCATGAGACAGACTTGTTCATCCCTGAGGCATCTCTTGCTTGTGGACTCTAGTTATAGCACTGTGGCTGGAAAATCTCTCCCAGGGAAGAAACAGTATGATGGAAGTATTAGCATTCATTACACAGTGAGGTAGAACAAGTAAATAGATCCCTCTTCCTGGAAATACATATCAAAATCACAATGAGATATCACCTTACAACTGTCAGAATGGCTAACATTAACAACTCAGGAAACAACAACAGATGTTGGTGAGGATGCAGAGAAAGAGGATCTCTTTTGCGTTGTTGGTGGGAATGCAAGCTGGTGCAGCCACTCTGGAAAACAGTATGGAGGCTCCTCAAAAAACTAAAAATAAAACTACCCTACGACCCAGCAATTGCACTACTAGGCATTTAGCCACGGGATACAGGTGTGCTGTTTTGAAGGGACACATGCACCCCCATGTTTATAGCAGCACTAGCAACAATAGCTAAAATATGGAAAGAACCCAAATGTCCATCGGTGGATGAGTGGATAAAGAAGATGTGGTATATATATACAATGGAGTATTACTTGGCAATCAAAAAGAATGAAATCTTGCCATTTGCAACTGTGTGGCTGGAACTGGAGGGTATTATGCTCAGTGAAATTAGTCAAAGAAAGACAAATATCATATGACTTCACTCATATGGGGACTTTAAGAGACAAAACAGGTGAACATGAAGGAAGGGAAACAAAAATAATATAAAACAGGGAGGGGGACAAAACAGAAGAGACTCTTAAATATGGGAACAAACAGAGGGTTACTGGAGGGGGTGTGGGAGGGTGGAAGGGCTAAATGGGCAAGGGCATTAAGGAATCTACTCCTGAAATCATTGTTGCACTAATTTGCATGTAAATTTTAAAAAATAAATTTAAAAAAATAAAAAAGAAATCCCTCTTCTCCAGGCAGGAAAGGGATCTCTAAGCTTTTCCTCATAAACAGTTCCAAAAGGTCTAGTGCATTTTTATCCAATTCAAGATGGGGGACAAGATTCAGCAGAAAAGAACAGTGAATTATAATTACTTTTTCAGCATACATTTTCTTTGTTTCTGTTCGTAGGACTTACTCTGCTTTAACTCTCTTGTAAGGCTGCTTTAACCTCTCTTCTCACATTCTTGGTCTTCCCTTTTCTTCTCTTTCCTTCACTATCTTCTTATTTTCTCATTTTCTCTTTGGATTTCACAATGGTTAAAGTGGCGATCTTCCCCACCACTACCTTTTGATATCTAGCATTTTGAATTTCAGTCTTTTCCATGATTTGGTTAAGAAACATTTTTTCCCACCCTTATAATGTTTCCTTCTCCCACCCTCTCCCATCTGTAATTATTTATTGTTTAGGATACATGTTGTTTATAAAACCCCTTGCACAACGGAACACAGGCTACAGCATGATCTATTTCCTTGTGAAAACAATTTATTAGGCCTGGTGGAGCCAATATCCTGGAGTTGTAGAGGAGAAAAATAAATTCTTGCCTCATATTTCCTCACCTAAATAATAGAATGCAAAGTTGTAATTTTAAGGTATTTGCCTTATGTGAGGTTTGATTTTTTTTTTTAAGGTATGAAACCAGAGCAATTTAGGATTTTTTTTTTTTTTGCAGTTATGCAGGAACAAATTGAGAAACATGCTTTAGAAAATCAGTGAAGGAAACCAAATGGAGCACAAAGATTCCTCCCAACCAAGGAACACTTTTGGTTTTGACAATAACAATGTCCAGCTTGAACTTCGAGCTTCCACATTCAGGGGCTATCGCAGCCTCAGGTGGCCCTGCTTAATTGCCTTCCTGTTCCCATTACTAACCATGATGACAGCCTACCTTTTCTAACAGATATACTCGCATTTTAATTTATCTGCAAAAATAAATCACACATTATAGCATTTCTCTCTTCCGGGTTAATTGAATCAGTTCCTTAAATGTCTCTAAGTCTAATGATTTAAAAGGAGCACATTGTTTGAAATATTTTAAAAATTAGGGGCCTTGGGTTGTATGCAGAATGATCTCAGTGCTTATTTCAGATATAAGTGTTTCCTAATGATCTCATTCATCTCAAACGGGATATATGCTCAGCTACTTTATTTAAAATGTTTCCTGAAAACTCTAACAGGAAAGCTTAATGCAAAGTATATTTATAGAGAAATGGTATTTAATTTATTTTAAAAAATCTTCTAAAGAACTTTACATGTTTTTATCCAGAAATGCTTAATGAAGTATTTTAGACCCATTATAAATACTTCTGTAAAACAAATTCACTTATATTTTTATTTAACGTGAATATTAACTTTTTATTTAGGATCTAAACACTCATTTAATTATCCTGTTCCTTCCAACATTTAGAAGAAAAGAGGCTGAGATTGTGGCATTTATTAACCATAAAAATTCTCTACATATTAAGTCCTTCATACCCCAGTGTGGCCTCTGGTCACTGTATTCTATGAAAAGGGGTATTTATGGTTGCAGGGATTAGATTCCTAATTGGTTATGACTCCAAAAATAATATTTTGATACAAAACACACTTCTTTCCCTTTAAAATATATCCTCC